AAAAAATACATTGAAATAATGGAAAGTTGAGTATCTTGGATTTCACATCTGAAAAGATTTTACCATTGTAGGTTTGGTTTTAATTTGTTTAACTATAATATTTTTCATACATTTCTCTGGGTTTGAAACGTCTTGAGATATTTTGCCACCAGCTTCATGCTGGAGTAATGGGTAGCATATCCTTGGTGTGGTTGCCTTAGATTCACTTACCTAGTTAAGCCCATAAGCATTTCTTTTACTAGCTTTCTTCCTAAACGCCTGTTTCCCTCTCCTTTTGGTCTTCAAATGGCCTGGTCAGCCTTTGGTGTAACATTCTTCCTCATCTTCCACCTAGCTTGAGAAGGATGTTCTCCATATAGAGTTAAGCAAGTGCCTAATCTCATTTTGTAAGATTTCGTTCCCTCATCTTGAGAAACAATAGCTTCATCTTTAGCATTTCCCACTAATTTTTACAGTGTGGTAGATTTCAAACTGGAATAGCTAGCATGTGCTTGCTAAATAACTTTATGCCAGCCTTACCCTGTATCCTAGCTGTTCTTAATAGCAGGTGCAAAAATGCCTCTTTTTCAGCAAGGTTGACATTGGGAATGTCCTTTTGAATGAGAAGAAAACAGGCCATAGTCTTATCCCAGCAATGGGCATTCTGTGAAATGGTACTGGCCCTTTAGGGGGATTTCCTCAACCACTCTCCTACTCTTGGCCATGAACCTACCTCTGGGTTGGATCTTACTATTGTAGCTGCTCACAATACCCTCCTGCATGCTTAGAATAATGTTTTGTGGGGAGCACTGGTAAAACACAGTATTAGTATTTATTCTTTCACCTCCTTTCAGAGGACTTGGAGGTAAGTTGCATTCGTTCACTCAAGGTTCCTTCTTGCTGTCTGATAAAAACTTGCATTTTGCTCTATCAGCATTTGTTATAGCCAATGTTTAAGGATAAGATTTAGAAAATCTATCATTTCCTGGCCATCATCAAACTAACTACAGCTTAACCTTGCAGCATACCACCTTTTATGTCAAGCTAGATATCTTTATTTGATATCTAAGGTGCAAGACCAACAACATCTTGAGAGATGTATAGACACAAAGGCAAAGCCCATGTATTTTTCATCCAAACACCTCAATTTATTTTATAAATTTGTTCATTTTTCCTGTTATGTTTTATATTAATATACGGACTTAACAAAATAAAATAACTGTAATAAATAATAGTAGAAAAGAGGAGAATATTTCCTCTTGTGCTTCTCTTATTCTTGTCTACAGAATTTTCTTCTTTTGTATTCCTCTTCTGTTCCCCATCTGAGATGAATTTTAGTACAGTCATTGTTTGAAATAATGTCTCATTTATTGTTATGTCATTAGCTCTACATAGTCCAGTCCAGATTCTGTTCCTCTGATTCTGATTGTCCCAAAGGGGCAAATTGTGGAGCAGAAAGAGGGATACCACTTCAAGTGAAGATAGGCAATGTAGTTAATGCAAAAAAGAGCCCATGTCTAGAAGTCAGGAGATGTGTGTTCCTGGTCCAGGCTCTGGCGTTAATTATGTGATTGTGGGCAGGTCACCTAAATACTCTAAAATTCATCATTAATCAAATAAATTGTTTCTCAATCTAAAGTTTCTTCTGCAGTTCTGTAAACATCATTTCTGAAAATTTTCAAGGAGGGTATTTTATCATCTGTTCATAGATATCTATTTTTATCGATAACCATAAAACTTTGTGTATATGCTGCTGCCTCTTTTTCCCTGTTGATCACATTTTAGCTGCTCATCCAGAGGATCTCTGGTCAGTGTTCCCTTTTATCTT